GTGATACAACAAAGCCCTGCATTCTTGTTTCTGATTTCTAAGGAGCCTGGAGACCGTTTGGTCACTTTTTGTCGGGTGAAACAGTTCTTACAGCCTAAAATCACAATTATTTGCAGCTTAAGAGCTGAAGTCGGAAGGAACATGATGTCACCTGCCTAGAACGTGTTTCAAAGCCACCTTTTTGCAGAGCTTTTATTTCCACTAACCCTAACTTGGATTATTTTCAGTCTTCTGCTGCTGAGACCACTGATGCTCTGCTCTCCCTCCTCTCTCATACCCCTTGGTTTGTTCTGTGCTGTGTCCAGCACCACCCTGGAGTTCTGTTTGCACATGTGGGCACAGCTGGGCAGTTCCCAGGCCTTTCATCAGACCTCCCAAAACTTTCCTCCACCCTCAGCTCTGACTGGTGGTTCCAAAATACTGATGTCATTGACGCTGTCCCGGGGGTTGTTCAGGTTCTGTAACCCAGAGTGATTTTTATTGGCCTGGCAGCTCGATTTATCTTCTAGCAACTTCCAGTGTGCCTTTTTTCCCCTTTGTCCCTGTGTCCACATTCATCCTTCCAGCACCTCCTACCTGTCCAGCCCCCAGTTCTGCCTGGGAGTGGCTGACATTCCTGTCACTGCCCACTCTGCCATTTCCCTTGGGCACAGGTGGAGCACATTCCTCCTCTTCTATCCTGCTTCCTCAGCCTCTGTGATCTCTAGAGATCCCAGGGCCATTTTAGCCATAATTTTAGCCCCAAAAAGGTTGGTGGGGAGGAGAGTTCAAGAGCACGAGCCTGGCACTGCTTGCTGGGGAGGTGTGGCCAGGTATGTCGTGCCATGAGTCACAGTACATCCCATAGTGCCCTATATAGGCCCAGCTAACACCAAAATAGGCTCTATTTCTAGAGAAGGGATAAAAATACCTCTTTGTCAGAGCCAGGGGAGATCCCAGCTCGCAGGTGATCGTGCTCAGTGGTGATGATGAAAGAGAGAGACAGCCAGGAGGAGGAGGGAGGGGTGGGACGGGCTCACTGTGGTGCATCCCAGCTACTCCAAACAAAAAATCAGCGTTTCATTAGTTATTATTTAAGTGGAGGCTCCTGGAGGTGTTTATTTTCAACCTGTGGTTTGAAATCCCTGCGGTTCAGCCGTGAGTCAGCGGGAGGTGGGTGGAGGAACCTGCACCAGGTGGGAGCCTGGAGTTTGGTGGTCCCAAAGCAGCTGCAAGGGAACAGTTGGGGTGTTCATACCCTGCCTCTGAGAGGCTCTAAAATTCAAGATCAGGAGGAATATCTGTGAGTACAGAAGGTCGTGGGTCCCATGTGAGTGTGGAAGGTGCTCAGACTCACCCTGGGGGCAGCTGGAGCCCAGGGCACGGCTGAGGGGGGAACAGGAGAGACAGGACCCGTGGGCAGGGTCACTCTGCTTCATCCTCAGGATGCTTTGGTGGCATCTTCTAACCCATCCTGCTTTGTGTGCCTTCACACACCCAGCCCAGCTCCTTCCAGCTCTCCTGGGGCTTTCCCTCTCCCCAGCAGTGTGGCTGCAAGCTTCCCAAAGAACCCAGCTGAATTCTGTCATCTGTCCTATGCAGAGTGGGGTAATTGTCCTTTTTGACCTTCACACCTATTTAAATCAATCAGAGGGGGAAAGGAGCACGACAGAAAGCCCAGAGAGCCCTCTGGGCTACATCCTGGCAGCTCTTCCCAAAGCTCCTGCCCTTCCCGAGAGGCAGAGCAGCACTGGGCAGTCCTGTAAAGATTTCCCAAGTTGTGAGCCAGGATAACAGAAATTTGCAGGGATTTCTTGGTGTAAATTACAGGATTTAAAAAAAAAACAAACAAAACAAACTGTCTCTTCAACTTGGCTTTCCTGGTAGATTTTCAGAACAGAAATTAGATTGAGACACCAAAGCACAATTTAAGTACCTCAGCAATTCATTGAGTTGTTTGTAAAGAGGCAGAGCCAAGTCTCAGCGTGTGAAATTTGGGGCAGGAGCCAGTGAACCTCCCAGTCCCCATTACCTGACATGTGGGGGCGTGTTCTGAGCACCCAGAGCCGAACCAGCACCCCTGGGACAGGACAAGGAGCGTGTCCTGCAGCCCTGGGCAGGCTCCTCTGGCCTCGTGTTTCTCCCCTCACTCAATCTCACCTCCCTTCCTCCCTCAGGGGGCCGTGGCTGCCTCTGTTTCTCGCTCTCTCTTGGCTATTGCTTTGCTGGTGTAGCCTGGATTTCTGTTTGGTGGCTGTTGAGATATGGAAAGTGTGGGAAATATCCCTCAAAGTCAGGGTTTAATGAAGAACTCATTTACAGCCTGTGGCTCACTCGGGGATGTGGGGGTTTGTCCTTGGTGTCATCTCAGCCTGTGGATCCAGGCTGGGAGAGCTGGGAATGGCCAGGCTGGAGAAGGGAAGGATCCAGGGAGACCTTGGAGCCCCTTCCAGAGCCTGCAGGGGCTCCAGGAGAGCTGGAGAGGGACTGGGGACAAGGCATGGAGGGACAGGACACAGGGAATGGCTTCCCACTGCCAGAGGGCAGGGAGAGATGGGAGACTGGGAAGGAATTGCTGGCTGGGAGGGTGGGGAGGAGCTGGACTGGAATTCCCAGAGGAGCTGTGGCTGCCCCTGGATCCCTGGAAGTGTCCCAGGCCAGGTTGGACGGGACTTGGAGCAACCTGAGCTGATGGGAGGTGTCCCTGCCCATGGCAGGGGGTGGGACAGGATGAGCTTTAAGGTCTCTTCCCACACAACCCACTGTGTCACTCAGTGATTCTGTTTTAAGGATTAGAACGTGAGGAAAGGTGAGGGGGTGGTGTTGTGGTGTCAGGAGATGACGTTGCTGTTTCTCAGGCTCTGTGAGCAGTTTTGCTGAAATACCTGTCTGAAGGTCCAAGGGAAGGATCCCTTCAGCATCCTGAACAGGTTATAAAACAATGCTCTGTGCCCATGTAGAAGGGTAGGGAATAAAAATAGCTGCCATATCCCTGTGGAGAACAAATCGTGTCAGAGAGTGGACGTGGGGTGATTCCTCCTGGGTGGGCGGCCTTGGGAAGGAGGGGGAGCACTAATGAAACATGGACTGACTCATAAAGCTCTTGACACTGTCCCACGTGGTATTTGCATAAATCAACAAGGTAAGTGTGGCCTGGGTGAATCTGCTGCTGTGTGGGTGCAACAGCAGTGGGGAAACTGCAGTCAGAGAAGGCAAACATTGGGTATTTTCCTCCCAGAGGGAGCACGTGCCAGGTGGGATCCCACGGGATCAGCTCCCAGCTCAGCACTGCTCAGTTTGTGTCCTGCAGGATGAATCAGGGAACAGTCCCACACCAGTGCTGTGCTGGGACTGGGACTGGGGTTCTCCAGAGGGCAGGCTGGCCCTGTGGGTCGTTGTTGCAGCCCTTGCCCATCACCTCTGCCAGGCCTCTTCCTCTGCAGGAGAGCCCTTGCAATGAGTTAGAGTGGAAAAGGTCTTGGAATCTGCAGTGGTTGCAGCCCTGTGCCTGCCATAAAACATAGCTAAAATTAAGCTTTTCAGCACTTGCCAGCAGTTTGCTCAAGAATTCCTCCGAGTGGTGGTTCATGTTCGGTCTCCCCATCACAACCCCCTTGTTCCTCAGGCTGCTCCTTGCCTGGGGGCTCCATGCCAGTAATTCCATTTCACCTCTGTTTTATAAGGTCTTGCTCTGCTCCTGGCAGGCGCCCCTGACATGTTGCTGCACATATAACAGAGAAGAGAAGGGTTTGTGTGTCTAAAAAATGTGGGGTTTATTTGCCTCGTCCCAGTCTATTGGCGGTGAAAGCAATAAATGCCACGTTTTTATAAAGGGCTCCTGAAGGGAAAACTTCCTGGGCTTGTGTGGGGGAGGAATTAAGTGCAGGTGATGAGGTAGAAGAGTGGCTGGGATACCTGACAGGAATGACAGATGGAATAATGCTAAAATGATAGTGACATCTGCCCAGGAACCATTTCGTAGGTAATGATCTGATCTCACATCTGCACTGTTCACCCCCCGCTGGAGATGCCTCCTCTGCGTGGGCCCCATTCCAAGTGGGACAGCAGAGGATTCCTGCCATCATCCTCCCCCTGGGCCGGGCAGTGCAGTGGAGCAGAGTCCCTGTGTCACCTTTCAGGTGGGGAAGGGAATGTTGTGTCCTTGTCTGCAGTGTCTGGGCCATAAAAAGAACCATTTTGGCCTTTTTTCGGTTTTGCCCCATTATCCCAGATCCTGCAGAAACCAGCACCTGTTAACTGGACTGTACAGGCAAATAGTTAGTTATTACTGATTTACTTCTAGTTCTGTATTTCTTCTGACAAATATTTCCTGCAGGCAATCCCTGTTCATAGAAATAATCAGAACAGCTTTGTTTCTGTGAGTCCTCCAACCAAACAGCAAAACACAGCACATAACCAGTCCCTGTCAGGGGGCAGCACTGTCCCTGCCAACCACTTGTTGTTGGATTTTCCTCCTGTTTCTTCTGGTGGATCTGTGTTATGAGAGAAGGAGCCTGGGCACTGTCAGCTCTGGTTTTGGACACGATGCTGAAGCTGCAGCCACTGTGGTTTGGGGTTTTTGGGGCTGTTTGCCTGCAGAAAGGGATGTTCATGGAAAGGGTGGTCAGGCTCTGGCAGGGGCTGCCCAGGGAGGTTTGGAGTGCCCAGCCCTGGAGGTGTCCCAGGCAGGCCTGGCCGTGGCACTCAGGGCTCTGGGCTGGGGGACAGGGTGGGGATGGGGCACAGGGGGGATCCATGGGCTGGGAGGGCTTTTCCAACCTTAATGATTCAGTGAAATGTTCCTTGAACACCTGCAGGGATGATGACTCCACCCTGGGCATCCCCTTCCAATGTCCCCAGATGTCCCTCTGAGCTTTGTTTCATCACTACCAGGTGTCCCATCCCGTGACCCCCGTGTTTGGTTTCATTTGTAACCGTTTTGTTTCGCTGCCGTTTTTGCTCACGGTTTGCTCCCTGTTTACGTTGTGTTCTCTTTTGCTCTCTGCCTCCCTCCCTGCCAGGTCCCAGCCCAGCCCGGACCCCCCCAGCGCGGTGGCCGACGAGCACTCCCTGATAGCCACCTACGTGAGCCGGCTGCAGCGCGGGGCACGGTCAGTGCCAGGGGCACGGTCAGTGCCAGGGGCAGGGGCAGTGCCAGGGGCACGGGCAGTGCCAGGGAGGGGCCACACAGAGGCCTTTGGTGACTCTTGGCAAAGGGAGGGACACACTGTTCCCTGAAATCTCCCGGAAGGGATGGGTCGCTGTCCACCCCTGCCCCGTTGCACTCCCCCTTTGCATAATAAGCCCAGTGACATTGCTCCAAATGGGTTAATTAAGTTACTTTTTCTCTCCCTAGCCCTTCTGGAATCCTTGTCTTCCACCTGCAGGAAGCTGATTTCCCCCTTAATTTCTTTTCCAGCACTGTCCTGTGGCTTGTGCCTGTTCTTCTTTCTCCCCCCTGCCTTCACCTCCACCCCAAACACTGTCCCATCCTGTCCCTGCCTTTGTTCTTGAACAAGCTCTTCCAACCCCACACCATGACCTGCTCAATGCAACTGTTTCTTTCCCCAAAAAGTAGTGTTAATGCTTTGAAGAATTAGTTCCTTTTATCTCAGCTTTGGTATTTGTGCACATTTATATTTCATGGCTCTGTCTATGCAGAGAAATTTCACCCTGAAGCCCCAAAATGCAGCTCTCCCATTTCATCCCAGGACACAGCCTGGGGGGTTCCCTATGCCACTGTTGGACCTCATTAACTTGTGCCTTTACGGAGCCAGAGCTGGGCTGGGAAGGAAAGGGAGGTTTAGTGAGCTGGGAGCTGTATTTTGCTTGCTCTATCCATGTTTCCACCCTCTGGATAATATTTTTAGAGCCCCATTTCATCACTTCGTCCTGCAGAAATTCATATCCCACTGTTTTGTGATCTCCTGGGAAAAACGAGTTTTTCCTGGTAGTGGATCAGTGCTCTCACCTGCAGGAGCTGAGAGCCCAAAATGTTTTCCACAAGACAATGAAACCCAAGGAATTGCAGACTCTGGCCTTCACTCAATTACTGCAGTCCCTGGATTTGGAGATAAAAAGGAGGAGGATCTCTTTAAGATGCTTACAAAGCATCTTGAAGAAAATATGGCAGATTGAAATGCTGAGTATCCCAGAACCATTCGGGTTGGGAAAGCCCTCCCAGCCCATGGATCCCACCCTGTCCCCCAGCCCAGAGCACTGAGTGCCATGGCCAGGCCTGCCTGGGACACCTCCAGGGCTGGGCACTCCAAACCTCCCTGGGCAGCTGTGCCAGTGCCTGACAGTTCTTTCCATGAATCCCATCCAGCCTGGCCTTGGACACTGCCTGGGATCCAGGGGCAGCCACAGCTTCTCTGGGCAACCTGTGCCAGGGCCTGCCCACCCTCCCAGCCAAGGATTCCTTCCCACTCTCCCATCCATCCCTGCCCCCTGGCAGTGGGAAGCAGTTACATGATGTGTCATCTTCTCTCACGCCCATCCCTGCCCACACTCGGATTGTCCCAGCCCAGTTTTGGGTTAGCACTTGGCAGCAGGGCAGGGCTGTCTGGGCTCTCTCTCCACGGACTGCCCTTTCCCCCATTCTGCAGGATGTGGTTCCATGAGATCCCCGTTTTGCAGGATGTGATTCCTTGAGATCCCCAAGCCGGGATCAGCAGGGGGGAGTGTTGATTTTCCCCCTTTTCCCCCCCATCTCACCCTGCACCCCCTGTGGTGTGACAGCCACACATCCCCAGGCCGTGCTGAGCTGGCTCAGGGCCTCTCTGGCACAGCACAAGTTGTTCTTGTTCTGTCAGGCCCGTCCTGAGCCAACTCAATTTCCGTGCCTGGCTCCTCGTGGTGTGCCCATGCCGTGCCCAGAGGGCAGAGCCTGTGGACTGCCTGTTCCAGAACACCTCAACCCCCCAGCACCCTCCTGTGCCCTGTGTGCCTCCAGAGCCTTTGCTTCTGGCCCGTTGTCCCAGACCCAGGTGGCCCCAGGGTGTGATTGAAGCCTCCCCTGCTCAGACCTTTCCATCAAGGCCAGGCTGGACGGGGCTTGGAACAACCTGCTCTGGAGGGAAGTGTCCCTGCCCATGGCTGGGGGTGGGACTGGATGAGCTTTGAGGTCCCTGCACACCCAAACCATCCTGGGATTCTCTGATCTGTGTCACCCACGTGCAGCCAGAACCTGCAGCTCCCAAGGACTGAAATGGGAGAGCTCCTGATCCGGCTCTGTCCGTGCTGTGCAGGGAGCACAGCGTTGTCAGAAGGGGCCAAACCCCTTGGAACACTTGGAACAGTGTTTTGAAGGCAGGGAATTCTGTAATATTGCCTCTTCAAGATTCTGCTGCTGTGGAAATCTCTGAACTCTCACTCGTGTACCTTCCCCCCATCTGAGCTTATTCTTGCCCTTTACTGCCTTTCCTGTTCTGGAGCCAGGCTGGGGGGGCTCACCTGGAGAAGAGAAGGATCCAGGGAGACATTGGAGCCCCTTCCAGAGCCTAAAAGGGCTCCAGGAGAGCTGGAGAGGGACTGGGGACAAGGGATGGAGGGACAGGACACAGGGAATGGCTTCCCACTGCCAGAGAGCAGGGACAGATGGGAGATTGGGAAGGAATTGCTGGCTGGGAGGGTGGGCAGGCCCTGGCACAGGTTGGGCAGAGAAGCTGTGGCTGCCCCTGGATCCTGGAAGTGTCCAAGGCCAGGCTGGATGGGGCTTGGAACAACCTGGCCAGGAGATGGACTTGAACTCCCCTTCCTCATCATCTGTAAAATACTTCTAAAAGCAAACAGAAAAGGATTATTCTTTTTTCATAAATTACAGGAGGGTTTTTTTTTCACAAAAGCAAGAAATTGTCAGTAACTCTTTTGTAATTCACTTGGGTAAGAGGTTGTAGTTCCAGGAGTTGGGAGATTATGGAAAGGGTGGAAGGAGAAAACTTGTACAGACAAAATTGCCAAGGAAAGCTGAAGGAAAGCAGCTGTGTCAGGATGTGGGATGGGCAAGACTGTTCTCCTTTAGCAAAAATACAGGGGATAACAAATTAGTGTTGAAGGTGCCTGTGCAATTCCTCAAGCCTCGTGTTTTCCTCTCTTAAATCTGCTTTCCCCCTGGTTTAACTCCCCTTTCTGCAGCTCCCTCCTTTGCTCTGGGCAGTTGGGTGTCTCCAGGTCTGGATCCAGCCAGGCCAGGCTCCGAGGCCTCGTCGTGCAGTTTGTGCTCATCACAGACCCACCTGTGTTCACTGTGCCTGTGTCTGCTCAGTGCATCCCAAACACATCACCTGGCAAACTTCGGAGTCTTCAGAGACTTCACGTTGTTAAATTGGGTGTTCATGAAAAGAAATTAAATCTGCATTTTTAAATAACCGTCACGTTCACTGCGTAAATTGGGTTCAAGGAAACATAAATCTTTGAAATTAAGCTTAAGGAAATGTGAGTAATCTTCTGTCTGAGGTGGGAATGTGGGCTGGAAGTAGCTTTTGTGGTGCACCAGGTGTGTGTCTGGTTTAATCTGCTGCTGTCTGTGGTGATGGTGACCCCAAATTTCCCCAGAGCACCCTCAGGTACCGCCCTGGGCTGTCCTTGGATCCCAGCTGGAACCTCAGGGGTGGCACTGGGAAGGCTGTGTGGCCACTGGAAGCACGTTCCTCATTCCCACACTAACCCTGGTTGTTCCAGTTAATAACAGTTTGGTTTCTCTGATCCAGCGGTTCCCTTTGGAAAGGACGTGGGATGAGGGATCTCTGCACAGCACTGGGATAACCAGCAACTCCCAAATCCAGTGGCTGGATGTTGACTTAAAAAGCTGCTCTTTCATTTGTGATTCCCCTCCTGGTTCCTTGTGGCAAGGCCACTGTGGCACCAAATCCAGCTGGGGATAGATCTCAGCATTGGCTGCTTTCAATTAACACAACCCAAAAATCAGCCTTTGTTCCCCAGTGTGTTTATACTTAAAAGGAGAATTGTTTGGGAGTAGCAGGAGCTGCTTCAGCAGTGGGGGCTCTGACTGTTCCCAGGCTGGGTTGATCTGTTGATGCTGAACATGCCCAGAGACACAATGCTCGTGTGGAACAAGAGCCAGATCCAGGGGCTGCCTCTCCCTTCCCGCCCAGGATCTGTCACCTCTGCTTTTCCTCTCTCAAACCTCCCTTTCTCTGTCACCTCAGGGTGCTGTCACTCTGCTGATGACTATTGGAAATGCCTCTTAATACCTATTTCAGCAGCATTTCCAAGGCAGCTGCAGCCTGTGTGAGGCACCCATGGAGTCCTGGACTGGTTTGAGTGGGAAGGGACCTTCAAGCACATCCAGTCCCAACCCCTGCCACGGGCAGGGACACCTTCCACCAGCCCAGGTTGCTCCAAGCCCCATCCAACCTGGCAGTAGGAGCCAGCTGGAGCTGTGTCACCCTCTGGAGCTGAGCTGGGAAGGACCAAATCTTAAACTGCCACACTTTGTAAATGGGCGTTGCAAGGTGTGTGTAAAGTCGGGCTGACTTGCAAAGTGCTCTTTGCGTTTAAGTCGATGCTGTTCAGTGACAGAAGGTCCTTCTCAGGTCAGCACAGTTCTCCCCACTCTTCCTCATGGAAATCATCCCAGCTTGGACAGTGATGATCCCACATCCATGGAGGAGAAGGCTTTCCCCCTTCGTCACTGGGCTGTTGGCCCCCGTTGACCTTGAGTAACCAGAAGGGTTTGCAGACAAGCTCCTCAGAAACAAGTGAAATCTGTGCCTAAACCAAATTCTTTTAATTACACTGCAAACTGGAGCCTGTGAATCCTGGAGAAAACGCTGCTCAGCAGAAAGCCTGGAGAGCGGTTCCCCCGCTATGGAAGTGGAATGGAGAAGGGAATTACGTAGATTATTTCCAGCGGGACTCTCTCTCTCTTTGCTGTCGCTGTCTCTTTGCACTGACACATCCTCCCCTCCCTGCCCCGGTGCGAGGCACTGACGGTGTGTGTTGGGTTCTTGGCAGTGTCCTGGACAGCCCAGGGCGGCTGGACGAGGAGCACCGGCTGATCGCCAGGTACGCCGCGCGACTCGCCGCCGAGGCCGGCAATGCCGTAAGTGAACGTCCCGGGGAGCAGGGAGGGGCTCCGAGGGTCGGGACGGGGGAGCTGAATTCCCACAGATGCATGAAACGCTCGGGTTTTGTTTGTTCAGCAGCACAGTTCGCTCGTTTCTGCAGGAACAGGGCTCTGCCGGGAGCGGGGAAACGGGAATGGGAAAAACGAGAGCGCAGATGAGCAGAAACGAGGTCAGAGGGGCTGAGGGAATAAGCAGATTAGTCCTGCTTAGGCCAGAGAGGAGATAAACGCGTAGATACCTGAGGAAAACAAATCGTGGAGCAAATGCTGGGGAATGTGTTTATTTCCAGGGGGAAGCAGCCTGAGGGATAAAGGAAGGAGGTTTCTGTGGTTGTGGTTTCTTCTCATGGAAAAGGGAAACACCTCAGCACATGGTAAATTGGTAAAAATCAATCCTGCCCTAACAGAAAATTGCTACGGGAGAATAATAAGAATTTAGTGAAGTTCCATGGAATATTGTCAGGCTACCTGGATGGGGAGGTTATTTATCCATAGGGAAGGAGAGCAGAGTTTGCAGGAGCCATCTCCCACGTTCCTGAATTTCCTTCAGTGTGTGTTCGGCTCGTAACCCGCCTTTGGCAGAGGGATGTGAGCAGATATTTTTATAAAACTTTAATAAAAACAGAATTATGCTTTTGAAACATTTTTAAGTGGCAGTTCCCAGCACCTCAGTCAGATGGTGCAGTTTTCTGTCCCAGGTCATTCCGTTCAGCAGGACGATGGTCGTGTTAAAATGTTAAAGTGATAAAGTGCCAAGTTCCAGGTTTGGATGGAAAAGGAGGAAATTTCCATGTAATCATGTAAAATTCAAGTTGTTTAATGAGACAGTAAGTGCTGAATCACTGTCACGCTGGAAGGTGGTGGAACAATTCTTACTCATGACTTGACTTTTTCTGGTAGAAACAAAGTGTTATGGAAACTAAGGAGTCACAAACTGGTTCTGAAAGAACCTGATGGTTTAAAGACCTGTGAATCACCCCCGCCTGCTCCTCTGTCCATTCTAGTTCTGGAAGGGGTCAAAAATGAAGCAATTTTTTGGGTGTGCAGAGCAGCATTTCGAGTTTACTGAGGCTTTTCAGAGTCCTGTGACGAATTCCTGCTTTCTTTTCACCCACATAAGTCCCGTGGAAGGGCAGAAGTCAGAGCAGTGCCAGGGATCGACGTGGGAAAGGAGGAAAGGGTAAGAACAGCGTGTTTCCATTGCAACCAGAGCTTGGCCACAAGGAATCTGAAGTTATTTACTGGCTCCACTGTTTATTCCCATCCAGAAATGCCAATCAGCTGAAATGGATGGATCTTTTGGGTTCTGAAGGCATCCAAGTTGAAAGGGCTTTGCTTCGTGGCAGCTCCTCCTTATTTCTTACCAATGGGAAACCCTCCTTCCTTGTCCAGCCTGGCCACTGCAGCTTGGTGGGGGAGCATCCCCTGAGCTCTGGGACGTGTCCATGGCTGTGGGGACAGTGTGCCACTTGCTCAGGGACACATCTGTGTGTCTGCAGGTCTCCCTGCCAGGGATTTGCTGCTTTTGGAAAGTGAAATAGCTGAGGTGTTTGAGCCACAATCATGGTTCTTCCAATGTTCTTCTTGCAGCATTAACACAGAGAGACAGGAGTGAAGGAGAGGCTGGGAAATCCAAAACAAAAACAACAACAACAACAACAAAGAGCAATTTTTTCTTTCCCTATGGAATTAAAATGGGGAACCATCAGATGAAAACACCGATAGAAACAATAACAAAATGATTTGAGGCAGATCTGAGGGTTAATTCCAAAATGATTTGAGGCAGATCTGAGGGTTTAATTCTTGACATCCAAGTCTGTTTGTTGTTAAAGAAGGGCAGTAGCTGGGGAGGAGGAGAGGAGAGGGGGAGGAGGAAGCCTCAGTGCCACGGGCAGCTGTGCCGTGCCGTGCCCGCGGTGCCAGAGCAGCCGATGGCACGCGAGCAGGACGTGGCAGTGGGGTCTGTGTCCACTCAGAGAGCTCTGACTGAGCTGCTCTTGTTCTCCTCGAGCCACTCTGCGGACAAAACATCCCTTTTATCGAATCTGAGTGCTCAGGGCAGGGCTGGCCCTGCCCATCTGCTCGTGGCAGAGCTGTGACCCCAGGCAGAGTCTGCTGCCTCCGCTGAGCACAGGGAGGGAAAGGCAGGAGGTGTTGAGATGGAGAGAGTGAGGGAATTAGTAGGGAACAATCCAGACTTCAATTAAATCACAACTTTCAGGATCACAGCTTCATCCCTTTGTCTCCCTCTGCTGCTCTGCTCAGATTGTCAGCCCAAGGTGAGGAATAATCTGCTATTTCCTATCAAACATCATCTTTGTGATAACAGCAGGGACTGGAGCAGATCTGCATCCCCAGCCCCCTTGACTGCTTTCCCCTACAAAATCCACATCCACATCCATGGCAGATCCCACCTCAGTGCTGCCTGATCCCTTGAGTACAGGTAATCCTGCAGAGGAGGAAACTGCACCCCCAGAGGAGGGGGGATTACGTGTGCTTTGGGTGATATAGGTCCGTACAGCAACCCCAGGGCCTCTGTCACCAATGTCCTACACAACCTCCTTCATCCCTTCTCCCACCTGCTCCACCTCAGCTCTTGTTTTTCCTGCCATTATCCCATTCCCAGATCCTCCAGGGTTTTTCCCAGCTCCCCTGGGCAGGTTGGTTTGTAGGAGCACGGGTTGGTGTCCCCTCTGTGACCAGAGGTGCCTGTTCCTTTCAGGGGGTGTGGTGGGAGCAGAGGGACCCCCGAGCTGAGCTGTGCAGCTCTGCTGTGGGGGCACAGGCACGAGCCCCTCACAAATACAAGCTAATCCTCAATTATGGCTGAGTGGATAATTAGGCTGAGTTATGTGGATGAGTTAGGATAATTAGGTTCTTGCCCACGTTGCTCTTTTTTGAAAACTCTGTGGTTGCTCTTCCCTCGGCATCAGGCACTGCTAAAAGCCTGTGATCATCTCATCTCCTGAAAGCTGCCCACAGCCTGGATAACAGTCAGATTATTCCCCTCATGGAACTTCTCTTTCAGGTGTTAGGCATTATTTAATGCGTAATTTTTAAATAAAGAATGAGTAAACCATTTTTTTGCTGTTAGATAAATCTGCAGCTTGGTTCTTGGATCATTTCTTCTCCTCCTTGGTAAACAAGTTAAACGAACCATTTTTGTCATCTGATTCCTCTCCTTTGCCTGTTTATCATCGAGAACCCTGTGACACCCCTCTGATGGGCAGCTGAAGTGCTGGCTCAGACTGTGCATGACACCACGAGGTCCTTGCACCGAGGAACCCGGGATCTGATGCCCAGGAGACTCAAGCTTTGCTCTTCTTTCACAGTTTCTTCCAAATCGTGGTGATGGAGAGCTCAGTGGCTGCCAAACTGGCTCTGGGGGCTTGATTAGACACCCCCTTCCCTCCCCCCAAACAGGTACAGTGGAGGTGATGTCTGAATGCTCCTGTTAGCAAATACCGCTCCATGATCCCTAAGGATCCCTTCCCACTGGAGACGCTCTGTGGTTCCTGCCTTGCAGTTCCAGCATGGCTCACTCCCTGCATTAATGGCCAGTTGATGGGAAAACTGAATTGCAGTGTGCAGGTTTCACTGGTCCTGGGTGGTGTGAAGGATTCCAAGTAGATTTTATGACCATCATATGGATTTTCTTGCTGAGAGAAAATGGGCCCTTGCCATTTGGATGATCTCAGAGCTGTTGAGGCTTCAGCAGAAGTTGAGTTGATGAGTGTAGGGGTTTTTTTTAGTAATTTTGACTTACAGTGTTGACTCCCAGCAGGTCTTTGCACTCTGTAGTAAAAAGCCCTTGTAAGAGTGGAGTAGCAAAGGGATATGTCCCTGGAGTTCAGAGCTGCTGAGCAGGCAGGAGCTGAACCTGTGGGCTTTTAAAGCATGGAATTACAGCCATAAATCTTGGCAGACACGAGTCATTCAGACCTGCCTGGGGAGATGGAGTGCAGACACAGGAGTGCTGACTAGCAAATGAAGGGTTTGGGTTGGGTTTATTTCTTCTGAGGGCAGAGGTTTTAAAAACCACACACGACTTCACAGGGAGGGCAGGAACCTCCCCTCAGAATAAACAGTAACCTGCAGATGTGAGAATGGGTCCTGTCCCTGGATTTACGAGGAGAATGGAATTTACCATCTCAATCCCAGACACCCCAAACTCTTCCAAGGTGGGGACAGTGAAAATTTGGTGTTCATAAAAGGCTGGGCAGAAATGAGAGCAAGGACTGCAGTTGGTCCAGCCCCAGCACAGCTGCCCAGGGCAGGGGGGAGCCCCATCCCTGGAGGGATTTAAAAGCCCTGTGGATGTGGCACCTGGGGACATGGGGCAGTGGTGGCCTGGGCAGTGCTGGGAGAATGGTGTGACTTGATTTTTCCAGCATGATTCCATGTGTTCCAGGGGAGTTCACTCACTGGAAAAATGCAGGCTGATACGTGAAGCCCACAAGGGTATTTGCAAATCTGAGGGACACCTCCACCTTCCACTATCCCATATTGCTCCAATCCCCTTCCAGCCTGGCCTGGAACACTCCAGGGACAGGGCAGTGATGGTGAACTTCCAATGTTTGCAGAGACAATGACCTTGTTTAAATTTAGTGCCTGTGAATGTTGTTCCTTTCCACGGATGGTGTTTCCTGGTCTTCGTGCCCAGGGGTGCCAGGGACAGTGTGGGCAGTCTGGGGATCCCATCTGACATGGCATGAGATGGGAGGCTGGATTCACCTTTATTTAACAGGGAATTACAGCAGCTGAAGGCACTGAAAGGTGATGGTGGTGTCACTGCAAGGTGATGGATTGGGAAAGGGGAGAATTGGGACCTCTGGAAAGCACAAGGAGTCAGGATCAGCTTCCTGCAGAAGCTGTGAGAAGATCTTCCTGTGGGGATGTTTCTGTCAAGCTGTTTCTGAGCACTAATGAAGCTCTGAGAGCTCAACCAGGGGGTGGAGAACGTGCCTGTTGTCAGTGGTGGGGGGTATCCAGCAGGGCTGTGGGTCTGTTGGTTATTCTGGACTGTCCTAGATGGAGTCACTCCAGCTCCTCTTCACTGACTGACACGTGGGAGGGTCAGGGTTTCACTGGGGGACTTAGTGAGAAAAGGAATAACTGGATTTGCTCCCAGGAAGATCCTCTGAGTGCTGTAGGCACTGGTAGCTGTGGGGTGTTGTTTGCTGGAAGGCCTTAAAAAAATCTGGCAAATCCTGTTCCTGGGGTGGGCAGCGAGGATGAGGCACCAGGAGCAGCCCCCGCCCTCAGCTCAGACCGGGTCCCCATCAGCCTGGTCCCAGCTCTGCAGCCTGGGCTGTCAGTCTGGGAATTCTGGATCCAATCCCTGCCACGGGCCCCAACAGGCAGCGAGTGCTCGGTGTAATTTTCCTGTGTTCTTCCCCAGCCCCGCCCGCCCACAGACCTGGGCTTCAGCTTTGATGCCAACAAACAGCAGCGGCAGCTGATAGCGGAGCTGGAAAACAAGAACAGGTAACAACAGCCTTTGATCAGTCTTGTTTTGGGAACCATCCCCGTGCTTTGTTGTTTGGAACCCTTTGTGTTACATTAACCAGATTGTTTACCCAGATCTTTTGTTAAAGGGTAGCTGCCTCGTTAACTCATTAGTTAGTCATTAACAGTAGTTAATTTTCATTGTGGAGGGGCTGCCCTGTCCCTGTTCCCCAGGAAGTGGGTTGATCTTCTCCACCAATCTTCTTAAAATCATCTTGACCAGCACTGAGCATCCGGAGCCCATTTCTCTCTCATCTGCAGACCCAGAAAACTCCAGGATTGGGGCCCTGAGCCCAGAAAATCCCCCGTGCCCTGGGCTGGTCCCACAGGGATCGTGGGCAGCAGGGCTGGGGGGATCCTGCCCCTCTGCCCCCTCAGCTGAGACCCCCCTGCAGAGCTGCCCCAGCCCTGGGGAACAGCAGCACAAGGACGTGGAGCTGCTGCAGACAGCCCAGAGGAGGCCACGGAGATGTTCCCAGGGCTGGAGCCCCTCTGCTCTGGAGCCAGGCTGGGAGAGCTGGGGGGGCTCACCTGGAGAAGGGAAGGATCCAGGGAGAGCTGAGAGCCCCTTGCAGAGCCTGAGGGGGCTCCAGGGGAGCTGGAGAGGGATTGAGGACAAGGAATGGAGGGACAGGACACAGGGAATGGCTTCCCACTGCCAGAGGGCAGGGAGAGATGGGAGATTGGGAAGGAATTGCTGGCTGGGAGGGTGGGCAGGCCCTGGCACAGGTTGGGCAGAGAAGCTGTGGCTGCCCCTGGATCCCTGGGAGTGTCCCAGGCCAGGTTGGATGGGGCTTGGAGCAACCTGGATAGTGGGAGGTGTCCCTGCCCATGGCAGGGGAGGAATGGGATGATCTTTAAGGTCCCTTCCAACCCAAACCGTGGGATTCTTCTTGCTCCAGAGGGTCACCTGTGGAGCCTCTCCAGGCTCTCCTTTTATGTGTGCTCAGGTCTCCCCGTGCTGCCGCTGTACCAGGCCGTGTGATCCTGCTGCTTGCCCAGCCCTGTGCTCAGGGCACACTGGGGAAAAATACTTCCCAGGGGTAGTTTGGAGGAGAAGCAGTTCCTGGAGAGCAGGAGCAGCTCCGTCCTGGCACTGCTGCAGCTTCAGTGCTCCACCAAGAGACCTTGCAGCTATTTGGAATTACTCCTGGAGATCCCAGATAAGGGAGATCTCAATCAGTGCTGGTGTGAAGCCCTGCCAGGAGAGCAGCTCAGCAGTTTGATGGAGACCTGGAGCTGTCAGCAGTCTCCACTTCCAGAGGGGTTCCATTCCCACTGCAATAAGGGGCCCTTGGGTTGTGCTGGCTGGTCACCTTCCCTTGGGGACAGCCCAGGGTTTGCCTCTGTTCCAATGAGCTGTTATTCTCCTTATTGCTGCCCAGAGCCCTCGGGAAGGGGAGTGGGGAGCTCCAGGGCCCTTCCAGCAGTGCCTGCCAGGCAGGTTGTGCTGAAGGAGGGAACTTTTGTCCTCTTGGAACAGCCTCTGAGCCCATTCTGTGTGAAAGGATTTGGAAAGGCATTGCAATGAGTGATTTCATACCTATTAAGTAGTAAATTTTCTCTGTCTTGCAGCCATTCCTACGTCTGCACCAACTTAACCTGTCCTGGGTGCGAGTCTGTGCCAGCCACACGCGAACAAAACTGCTGTGCTTGGGCTGGGACTGGCAGAAAGTGCTTCGAGGGCTGTAAAAGCGTTTAGGAGCGGTGCAGAGACTGACTTTTCCCTCCTTTTATCTCCCCTCTGTCGTTTCCACAGGGAGATACTCCAGGAGATCCAGCGGCTCAGGCTGGAACATGAGCAGGCCTCTCAGCCCACCCCCGAGAAGGCCCAGCAGAACCCGACCCTGCTGGCTGAGCTCAGGCTCTTACGGTAAAAGCAACACCTGGGCTGGTGCTGGGGGGGCACCGGGGTGGGCAGCGCTGGGGGCACTGGGAGAAGCAGCTCTGGGCAGCCTGACAGAGCCATCTGAGATGCTGAGTTCTGAAGGCTGTGTCAGCAACTTTTAGGGCTTTTAAGCGGCTTCAGAAGTAAATAAAAACGTTTCTTGATATGCACTCTGTTCGTGTAGTCTAGAAAAGTGTTTCTAAAGAAGAAACCGATAGGAAGAACTGGCAGAAATGGCACTGACTGCTCGTCATTTCTTCTCCAAAGGAGCAGAGCTGAAAGCAAATGTCACTTATTTGATTAGTCAGAGAAACTCCCAAAGTTCAGACCTCCAGGCACATCCAGAGCTGGGAAGCACCTCCCAAAGCCTCTGTGGCTGAGTTTGCACTGCTGGGGCACCCCCAGTGCTGGGGCAGGGCTGGCCCCTCACACCAGAGACACAGGGAGGGGCTGGAGCGTGGGCAGGGAAGGGAACGGAGCTGGGAAGGGGCTGGAGCAGCAGGAGGGGCTGAGGGAGCTGGGGGGGCTCAGCCTGGAGAAAAGGAGGCTCAGGGGGGACCTTCTGGCTCTGCGATCCCTGACAGGAGGGGGGAGCTGGGGGGGGATCGGGCTCTGCTCCCAGGGAACAGGGCCAGGAGGAGAGGGAACGGCCTCCAGCTGGGCCAGGGGAGGGGCAGGGGGGACATGAGGAGGAATTTGTCCCTGGAAAGGGTGGTCAGGCACTGGCAGGGGCTGCCCAGGGAGGTTTGGAGTGCCCAGCCCTGGAGGTGTCCCAGGCAGGCCTGGCCGTGGCACTCAGTGCTCTGGGCTGGGGCACAGGGTGGGGATGGGACACAGGGGGATCCATGGGCTGGGAGGGCTTTTCCAACCCAAATGATTCTGGGATTCTGGGATTCACTCCCCGTAGTATCTCACAGGTAGCCTCCCTGGTGTTACATGTACAAGTAGCAGCTTTCCTGCCATCAACCCTCCCTCATTAACACGTTCACCCTGCACATTAATTGCTGTGGCTGCTCAGCATCACGCTGGGGGGTCCCAATTAGCAGGTCTGGGATGGGAAGGTGCTTCCCCAATCCCAGCTGCCCAGGACACGCTCCCCAGCCTGGGCACAGCGTGTGGTGCCCTGGACCGTGAGTGTCTGTCAGCACGTCACCAAATGATCTCACTTCTGCGTAGAATTCAGGCTGTGAAAGCAGGGGAATGATGCTGCATGGAAAATCAACGTGTCCCAGGGCTAAAAATCTGCAGCCCAGCCCAGCCCAGCCCAGCCCGTGGGATGAGTCAGCTCCAGCACTGCTGGCAGGTGTGACCTTGGAGGAGGCACGGCTGGATCCGTGTCCTTGTGCACCCCTGCCTTGCAGTGCAGGTGTCCCTGGCTTCTCCTGCCTGCACCACCCCAGGAACACCCAATCACAGAGTGCTTTGGGTTGGGAAAGGTCTCAAAGCTCACCCAGTGCCACCCCCTGCCATGGGCAGGGACACCTCCCACCAGCCCAGGTTGCTCCAAGCCCTGTCCAACCTGGCCTTGGACACTTCCAGGGATCCAGGGGCAGCCACAGCTTCTCTGCCCAACCTGTGCCAGGGCCTGCCCACCCTCCCAGGGAAGCATTTCTTCCCAATATCCCATCTAACCCTCTGGCAGTGGGAATCCATTCCCTCTTGTCCTGTCCCTGCAGTTCATGATGATCTTCTCCAGTCCCTCTCCAGCTTCCTTCAGATTCTGGAAGGCTGCTTAGTTTAATAACCACAGCCCACAACATACAAAAAGATGTTGAAAGAAACATCTAGGGTGGTTAATATTTCACAGTCTTGTGTCCTTTAAAGAACTAGTCCATTCTTCAGATTCCCAGGATGATTTATCCACAATGAGTCACGTGAGAACACAGATCTAATCTAAGACATTTCGAGGTTCAGTCTGTAATAGGTGATGCTTTAACTTTGGATTGAGACATCCTGGTGTCCACAAAAATAGCTGTGGATGAATAAAGGAGCCTTTTTAACCTGCTTTTCCCCGTGGTTTTGTATCATCACCTGTGACTGGGCTCTGTGGGTCCTGGCATTTCTTGAGTCACCCGGGACACGGAACCTCCACCAGGCTGACGTCTGTCTTTGAACTGCTCCTTCTATTAGTCACTGCTTTCTCTTTTGGAATCTGAAATCAAACTGCACAGTCACATTTCCTCAAATAGCTCCCAGACAGGTTTTCAGCTGCCAGGGGAAGGGAAGGTCACTCCTTCTCTGCTGCTGTTGTTACCTGGTGCTGGTGCAGCGAGCGTGTCACGGCACAGAAATAGCTCTGCTGAGTCTCCTCCAGACGGGCAGAGCTTTTCCTCCCCAAACATCTGCAGCCTTTCCTCCTCGTTTATTCCCTTCTCTGTCTTTCCTCCCCTGGTTCATCCTGCCTTGTCTGAGCGCTCCACAGGGTGCCAGGCTCTGACACTCGGGGTTCTTAAAAGGAAGAAAAAAGTGGGATTTTTTTCTGAAAATGCAGTGCCCTTAGAAGGGCTTCCCTGTGCCAGTGGTGAGGACACATCTCTGGGTTTGAAGTGAGCAGGGTATTGTCATCTTCAGGTTCCTGGTCACTGCTGAGCCTTGCTCTGGGTTTTTAAATGGGGAGGAGGGGGAGTGGTGGGAACCACAGACACCGTTACAAGGGCGAGTTACCCAAACTGGTTTGAAACACTCCAAGTTTGTTTTCTGCCTCTTTCTTCCATGTGACTGGAACAGGCAGAGGAAGGATGAGCTGGAGCAGAGGATGTCAGCACTTCAGGAAAGCAGAAGAGAACTGATGGTGCAGCTGGAAGGGCTGATGAAGCTGCTCAAAGTAAGGAATCTCCTGCTGGAAAGGCATCCCATCCCTCCCTTCCCTGGGCCTGTGGCTGCTCTGGGATCCCTGCTTTGCTGTCACACCTTATAAACACTTCGTGAGGAATAGGAGGAGTTTGCAAAAAGCCATTTCCATCCTGGCTCTGTGTGGGGGTGCAGGTGGTGCAGGAGTTTTCAAGTTCGTGTGGTTAAAGTATGGAGAACCCGAGGTTTGGAAGGGTTTAAAGAAGTGTTTGATTTGATAACTGGGAGCTGATCTGGGCACCAGTTCTGTTCTTCCAGCTCTAACTGGGAAATAAACTGGGAGCTGCAGTTCCTGCAGGGCAGGATGTGACTCCCCTGGGATGAGGGGCTGATTCAGGGGGTGACCCTGCCCAGCCCCTGCCGTGGCTGGGGGGTTTGCTCTGAGGGTGGTGGTGTCAGCTCTGATCTGCAACACACGGCATTGTTTGGGCTTCTGAGCAGGGTCCTTTATTATTTTTGTGGAGTCCTCCCTCACTGAGCTCCCAGATGCTGACTGTAGTCTGAAATACTGTTACACCTTCGTTCTTCCCCTTCTTTAAGTTAAACAAGAGCCAACGAGTCCAATGGCAAAGCCTTGGCCTCAAAGAGGTTTTGGTCTGAGACAAAGTGCCATGAAGGTGCTGTGGGGGTGGGAGAGAGATAGAGCAGTGCCAGGGACAGGGTGAGATGTAGATCAGCCACAGGCACGTCCTGATGATTCCAGGAAAATTTGGGGCTGATCTGTGCTCGAAAGTGGCAGTGAATTCTCAGTGTCTGTGACTCCAGAGTGCAGTAACTCCTCAGCTTGGGCTTGAATCCTGATGTAAGAATTCCTACCCCTAGCCTTTATCCTGGGTGGATATTCCTACCCCTATCCTTGCATCCTGGGGTGATAAAGGAGGTGATGATCAAAACCTCCTCCGAGGTGCCTGGTTTCCTTCCTTTCCCTCTGCAGATGAGCACGTGTCGTATTTGGGAACTTCCTTAAGCCAAAGGTTCTGCACTCTGTGTTTTCTCTGCTCAGCCCATTAAGGCATGACTTTCAGAATCACAGAAACCATAGAGAAATTTGGGTTGGCAGGACCTTTAAGCTCATCCCATTCCACCCCCTGCCATGGGCAGGGACACCTTCCACTGTCTCAGCTTGCTCCAACCCTGTCCAGCCTGTCCTTGGACACTTCCAGGATCCAGAGGCAGCCACAGCTTCTCTGCCCAACCTGTGCCAGGGCCTCCCCACCTTCATAGGGAAGATTTCCTTCCCAATCTCCCATCTGTCCCTGCCCTCTGGCAGTGGGAAGCCATTCCCTGTGTCCTGTCCCTCCATGCCTTGTCCCAAGTCCCTCTCCAGCTCTCCTGTAGTTCCCAAATTTGTTTAAGAACTTTATCCAGCAGCTGGGACTGGGTGTAAGGAGAAGCTTTGTCCCCATGAGGATGCCCAAGCTGTGGGATGAGGCCTCACAGAGGCTGCACCATCTCCATCCTTGGAGGTTTCCAAGACCTGACTGACCCAAACCCTGAGCAACCTGGTCTGAGGTTTTGACCCTGTTCTGAGTGGGAGGCTCGACTGGAGACCTTCTCAGTTGTCCTGCAAGCTGTGACTGCTGGAATTACTTGGTCCCACACGTTGCAGAATGTGACTCTTTGCATTTTCCCCTCGGAGCTCTCTCTGGAGCCTGGCAGCTTCTCCTCGATGAAAGCATCTTCCAGAAAGACATCTGGTCTGGAGCTGGAGAAATCAGAAATGGAAAATTCCCTGCCAATGCAAATTTGCTTGAGCAGTTAGAAATTTGTGCCTGGTTTTCAGTTCTAATTCAGTTTGCACCCCTTGGTTCTCTCTCCATGAAATCAAGGAGCACTTCTGCACCCCTGTGCTCTGCCTACGCAGATCCTTCCTCAGCTCAGCCAAGGCACTTGTCACTGGGGATTTTAAAGCAGTGAAACTGCTGGGCCCCTCACAATACTCTACTCCAGCCTTTCTAGGGATTGTTTCTTTGCCTTCTTCAGATTTTTTTTTTAATTTTTTTTTTTTTTAATTTGGGAAAAACAAATGGCATGTGGAATTTTTCCCTGACCCTCGGCAGCTGGTGCAGAGTCACAGCAGGGGCTTCACTGCTCTCCATCCCTGGTTTCCTTTTTGTGCCCTGTGGAAGCTCTCACTCATCCAGCTCTTCCCCTGTGGATTTATTTCCTTCTGTGGTAACTGCTTAATGAGGATGTTGTGGGTAAATCCTCTGCTGTGAAAACCTCTCACATCTGTGCAGTCCCTTTAGAAGCCAAACCTGCTGTACACTGAAATAACAAAATCAGCTTCTTTTGTCAAGGCTCCCTTTCCACGAAGTTCCAAAGCTTTTGTGTTACCTGTGTCAGCATTTCTGTGGCTCTGAGTGAAGTGATGGCAGGGTCAGATCATGCAGTCAGAAATACTGGAATGGTTTGGGTGGGAAGGGACTTCAAAGCTCATCCAGTCCCACCCCTGCCATGGGCAGGGACACCTCCCACCAGCCCAGGTTGCTCCAAGCCCCGTCCAACCTGGCCTTGGACACTTCCAGGGATCCAGGGGCAGCCACAGCTTCTCTGCCCAACCTGTGCCAGGGCCTGCCCACCCTCCCAGCCAAGAATCCCTTCCCAATCTCCCATCTCTCCCTGCCCCGTGGCAGTGGGAAGCCATTCCCTGTGTCCTGTCCCTCCATTCCTTGTCCATGTGTCCCCCATCTTTCCTGTTGGCCTCTTGAGGTGATGGAAGGTCACAGTTGGGTCACTCCGAAGCTTCTCTTGTTTAAGTTGTCTTTCCTCCCTGTTTGAAAATCCACATCCCAGTCCTGGGCTCTCCACTAAAAATTCCCTTCCCTGCTCCATGGAGCTCCTCACTCAGGTAATTATTTTAAGCTGCAAGTTCCCCGAGCCTGCTGATCTAAAAATAGAACTTCTAGTAGATACTTTTAACACCTTTTCACATTATTAGTGTCAGTGCTTCCCTGTCTGCTGGGAGGAACTCCAAGGGGAAGTGCTGTGAGTCAGACCCAGAGCAGAGACACGAATTCCTCAGCCCCTGCTCAGAATTTCACCCCAATGACCTGAAGTAGTGACGCTGCCTCCAGGCTTTGTTTTGATTTTTGATATTTGTGTTCTGCTCAAACTCTCTTTTTCAGTGGTTTTAGCCCTGCCAGACACGATCTTCCCCCCACAGGATTTTAGCTTCTCTCATCGTTTGGTGCTCTTCAGAAATGTTCATGTATAATTTACATCAGCTGTTAGGCTTTTATGGGGTTTTTTTCCATTTTCTTATGCAGTATTTTTTACATTTTTAATGCTGCCTTCGTTTCACCATTTAGGGCTGGATCCAGCTTACCCAGCTCTGGTTGTCTGAGAGTTTGGGGCCTCAAATCCCTCTCTGAAGAAAAGGAGAAGGAGGAAAGGCCTCTTAGATGTCAAAAACTTCTTTCTGAGGGGCAGCCATTTAGAGCTGGGGGTGGGCGTTGCATCCAGTGCCTTCCACATCCCATCACTGACCCGGGACACTTCTCTGGGGGGTTCCAGTTACAGGAGGATCACGGAATCACAAACTGCTTTGGGTAGGCAGGGAGGGGAGAAGGTTGTGGCTGCCCCTGGATCCCTGGGAGCGTCCAAGGCCAGGTTGGACGGGGCTTGGAGCACCCTGGGCTGATGGAAGGTGTCCCTGCCCGTGGCAGGGGGTGGCACTGGATGGTTTATAAGGTCCCTTCCCACCCCAATCATTCTGGGACTCTGGGACTCTCTCCAGACCACTGGCCTGGCGCTCCCTTCTTTCCTGGGCTCTCCTGCAGTGCCCAGGTGCCCTTAGCTGGCCAGGCTCCAGAGCATTCCCTGGGGATGATTCCCTGCTGCCTGGCAGGGCTCTCCCTCTCAGCTCCACGGATATCCAGCAGACGGATCCCATTTCGCTCCCTCCATTTCCTCAACGGCAATTTCCTCGCCGGCTGCTCTGATGATTTATCTGCTCGCTCGCAGCCCTACCGAGCTCTGTCTGTCCTGAGAGGGTGTTTTCACATCTGCAGTTAATGCCAAAGCCTCATTTTTCAAACTGGCAACTTTTTTTGTGGAGCGGAGATCATTGAAGATCTTCTCCCTGACCCAGCTCCCCATCTGGTCCTGTGAATCCCGGTGCTGGTGGGAGGAACAACTGGAAACACGTGGGATGCGGGGAGGCCAAGCTGATCCGAGTTTGAGTGGAGCCAGACCCCACATCTGCCACGGCAGCATCTGAAAACACACCTGAAGGGAACCCTAAGTCTTACCAGAAAAAAAAACAAAAGCGTCTGCTCAGAAATGTGGAGTTCTCTGCAGCCATTCCCAGATTTCTCTGCAGTGCCCAGTGGGAAAACAGCTTTCAGTGGTCAGTGAGAAGAAGCTGCTTTAAATTAAGGGAAAGGTTCTGGTTAATCCTGCTCAGACCGGAGATCAGGGAGGGAAGGTGGATAAATGGATTCATGGATTTCAAGGCCAGAAGGAGCTTTTATCCCATGAATTTTAATTCCATGACCTGGATTTCTGGGGAGAGGAGCTTAGCAGGGGTCCTCCGTGCTGGGGGTCTGTGCCAGGCCAGCGGCAGAGGGAGTCACCTGGCAATGCTGTCACTGCTGGTTTGGGGTGGATGAGTCACCAGGACTGTGCTCCAGCCCTTCTGTCAGAGCACACCGTCAGACTCCTGATGGTTGTTGTCTATGAAAGCATCTGAATTAGGAAAGAAACTCCTCACTGTGGGACATTTTGCTCATCCCAAGGAATCCTCCTATAGCTGAAGGCAGGATGTGCCTCCACCTGCCCAGCCCCATCAGAGGGGACATTTCCCTGCTTCAAAAGGGGATAAATTCATCCAAATTTCACCGGTTTTTGTCTTCCAAATCAGGAGGGATCTGTAGTGACAAAGGCACTGCAGGGCAGGAATTGTTTTCTCTGCATCTTTTCCCTTACTCAGCATCTCTGGTGCCTTTGCCTCCCAGCGTCGTGTCCCATTCCAGACCTGGTTGCTTTGCCCTTGCAAATCCCGTTGGTAGAGGTCCTGGAATGCCCAGTGGGAAGTGACCAAAAAGGTGATGTTTTGCCTCTGGGGCTGTGGCAGTTTTGGGGTCTCTGTGAAGGCAGATTTGTGCCCTGGGGAACCGAGCATTGGACACTCCGGATGGTATTCCCAGACTTTAGAGGATGGGTCTGGTGTTTGTTGCCTTGAGGGCAGCTCAAGAGGCCTTCTGAGTCCAGAGTAGGAGGTGTTTGCTCCATTCCCCGTGTTCTGTTCTTTCATTGTGGCTGCTGTGTATTTTGTGTGAAAATTATCATTTTCATATGATAATTAATCTTTCCTCTTTCTCTCCTCACCTTTTTCTTTTGCCAACACTTCTAGGAAGAAGAGCAAAAGCAGGCAGTAAGTTGACTTCACTTTGTAGGTGATCTGACTCTTGTTTTCTTCCTGCATGAAATGCATTTTCTGTTAATTGGCTTGTATGCAAATAAACCGTGGGACCGCGGGGCCTCTCTCGCTCGTGGGTTTGCAAACGGCCCTCACCCGTTTCCAGCAGAGCATGTTTTGTGGGTGTCCCTAAAGTTGTTCCTCTCTCCCTTTCAAATGAAGTTGATTGCCTTGGGGGGACACAACTGGTGGCTGGATCCATGAGGCTTTCATGGAATTGTGCATGACCATCCAGGGCTGAAAACGGGGATTCTCAGCTGGCTTCATAAATACATTTTGCTGGAGACCCTTTGGAGTGTTCCGCGTGCTAAGAAAGCTTTCTTGTCTCTTCAGGAACCCTTTAATTTGCCTCCTTGCCACATACAAGTCCATGCATGAAAACTAATTAATGACTTAATATTCTGGGCATGGATCCATATCCTTCAGCCGTGGCAGAGTCTCCTTGAACGAGCCCCGGAGTGCTCCTCGCGAGCAGGACTGAACTGACGGGAGACAAGAAGGCCTTTGCTTTGTTGCCATTTTCTCTGTTCAGAGCCCAATCCCGTGTTAATTTCGGGATCCACTCCAGAGGGAGCCCTTTTGCTTTTCTCAGCATCAGCCAGATGTTCGGTGTCTTCTCCCCAGCACCGCACGTTTGCAGTGTTTTCGAACATGGTTGCCTCTCTCACGGAGCTGTGATGACCTCTAAGCCTGTGGTTTGCACTGTGGGGGGAATTCTACACCTTGTTGTTTGCCACCTGCATAATTGGGTATTGGACACAGGAGTGGGAAATTCTGGTGACTTATTCTTTGTGGGGGATGTGTATTTTGGGGTAACTTTTAATGGTGAAAACGCTTCGGTTCTACATGTGCTGGAATTGGCTTTTGGTGACTCCTGGGTGGCCTTTTATTAATGCTCTGTTTAAGGTGTTGGTGAGTGGGCACCTTCTGTTGGAGCCCAGGTCATTGTTAGGTGATCAGAGAATCATGGAATCATGGAATGGCCTGGGTTGGAAGGGATCTTACAGATCAGCCAGTGCCACCCCTGCCATGGGCAGGGACACCTCCCACCAGCCCAGGTTGCTCCAAGCCCTGTCCAACCTGGCCTTGGACACTTCTAGGGATCCAGGGTCAGCCACAGCTTCTCTGGGCAACCTGTGCCAGGGCCTCACTACCCCCCCATCCAGGAATTCTTTGCTAGTATCCAATCTCAGCCTATCCCTGGGTTTGCTGAGGCACACCTGGCTCATTAGAGGGACCAGGTTGCAGCACGTGGAAGGATCTTCAAGGAATGTCCTGGAGGAAGGAAAAGAACCAAGGCCATTCCTGTCCTCCAGCTTCCAACTGTGCCAGTGGAATGCTGTATTGTGTGTCATTCTCCTACCCAGCATCATTCCTAGGAATAATCCTCTGCAGGAAAGGCAGTGTTATATATTAGCTCATTTTTCCTGTGCTGTGCTTTCATCTGGATTATGGATATAGCAAAAGGGTAAATATGAGGTCAGGGAAGAATCTGACCAATTTTACCTCCCTTCTTTTCCTGGAACACTGTGTCAGGAGGAGGACAATGAGCCAAAACTAAAATAATGTCAACACAGTGACATTCTGTCCAGGCCAGTTCTGTTGGAATCAGGGATAAATGAGCCAAAAAGCCTCAAGAAAGGCAGATTTTGACCAACCAAAGGACATGTTGCTGGTCTGTAGAAGTTGAAACTTTACATCCTCCCTTTGCTTGGACTGAGAACTGTTCTAGATACGAAGGTGCAGCCTGGAAAGGCTGGAAATCGCAGGATGCGCTGCTCCCTTTGGCTGGGAAACACACAGAAACCACAGCCTGGCTGGGATGGAAAGGCAGCTCTGAGATCACCCAGACCATCCCCCCTGCTCAAAACACTGCTCAAGGGTTTGTCCCCTCACCACAGAATCATTAAATCTCAGAATGGTTTGGGTGGGAAGGGGCCTTAAAGCCCATCCAGTCTCACCCCCTGCCATGGGCAGGGACACCTCCCACCAGCCCAGGTTGCTCCAAGCCCCATCCAACCTGGCTTTGTGTGAGGGAAAATGTGGAGCAGCCTCTGGATGCTGTGAAAGAGACTGATCCTTAGGGATCTGAGGTGATGATCCTCCCAGCCCTCGGTGAGATGGATCAGTGGTGTGGTGGCAGCAGGAATTTCCCTGAAGGGTTAAGGTGAATAATGGGCAGAACAAGGGTCATGGATTAGGACCAGCAGCACATCAAGAGCAGCAACGTTGGCATCCACTTTGGAAACCTCTGATCTTCCTTCACTGGGGCTGCAGGTCCCTTTCTGCCTTGGTCAGAGATCACAGCAAGTTACGAGGAGAGAGACACCATTTCTGAGCCTGGGACTCACGGGCAAGTCCAAAACCTTGTGTGCCCTGTGCTCAGAGCTGATCTTCTGTCGAGATGCTGGCAGTTTGTGCTCTGCCCTGGGCTCACTGGGGCCAGTCCTGGGCACACCCTGGAGGAAGAGAGTCTCGTGTAGGGATGCTATTCCAGTGACGGAGTTTGGGGCCTCATGGTGTTCGTGGCCCACCACACTGTTCTCCACTGCTGCTGGGATTGTTGTGTCCCAGCTAGTAAAGATCCTAATTTACAACAGGACCGTTTCCACGTCTCAGCTGGTGAGAGACTTGGACAATCTGCTAAATATTAAGCCCTCTTTGTTTTGCAGTCAGACAAGCAGCCGTAGGAGCTGCGCTGTTCTGCATCCAGAGGAACGTTGAAGGGATTCCCGACCATGTGCATCACACGGATGATGTCCTTGGCGTGTCCTACAATCCACACAGCAGACCCAGAGGAGCGTCAGGCGCTTGTGCTCCGGCACCAGAGAGCAGCTCTAATGCCAAACAGGCACAGGAACGCAGCGGAGGAGCTCATGGGAGGGCTGAAGCGCTGCAGTGGAATCTTTTCCTCTCAGAAAGCGGTGGGAACCATCGGAATGGCAGAGCACAGAGGACTCGTGGCTCTCAGGGTTGTGTTACCCGGCAGAAGTGGACGTGCACTCGCCCAACAATCCTTGGGAAGTCGTGGAAGTTCTTGGGGGGGAAGGGGTTTCCTTAACCCCATGGAGAGGGATCAGCAGTTCCCCTTTTCCTCCCATGGTTCAGATTGAGTGTGTAGATGAGGCCTTGCAGTGAGCCTGAGCAGTGCCAGGGCAGCAGTGCCAGGGCAGCAGTGCCAGGGCAGCAGTGCCAGGGCAGCAGTGCTCCTCCCCTTAACGAGCTGAACCTTCTTAGCCATGGCTACAGCAAAGCTGAGCCCAGCAACCAGCTCGGGTGACACCTGTGTCCTCTCCCAAGGGATGCAGAAAGCCGTGAGCAGGGAATTCCCAGCCCTGCAGAGCCCTGGATCACCTGAAGAAGTCTCGTGTCGATGCCTGAATCTGAGGCTGCTGTTCAGTTCTGCATCCATTGCATCAGCCAAAGGTGGAGTCTCCATCCCTGGAGGTGTCCAAGGAAAGACGTGGCACTCAGTGCTCTGGGCTGGGGGACAAGGTCTTTTCCAGCATGAATGATTCCTCGGCCTCCCAGAGCCAGTGGCTGCACTTGGGTGTTGGGAAGAGTGTGCCTGGGAACTGCCAGGGAATGTGCTCACTGGGTTGTGTCCCAGCCCTGCCAGCAAGTGTTCCAACACCTAGATCCTGAAAATGACCTTGTTCCAGTGCCAGGAACACTCCTGTGTGTGGTTCAGCTTCCTGGTGTGGACAGGCAGAGCTTTGGAATGAGCTTGGGGTCGGTGCTTCCACACTAAGAGTGTGTTCATGGGTCTCCTGGAGGGTATCATTGAATCCAAGTGGTTTGGGTGGGAAAGGATCTTAAAGTTCATCTAGTCCAACCCTCCAGCCACGGGCAGGGACACCTTCCATGACCCAGGTTGCTCCAAGCTCCATCCAACCTATATCAAGCCTGGAAGAGCTCCCAAAAGAGCCAGTTAGTTGTCTAGGGAGCCCACCCTCCGTAGCAGTGGAGTTCATCTGTCAGCATTTCGGAATGGAAGGGGGGTCTGTGCTGCCTTCAGGTACTGGAGGGGAAGAAGACCCTCACCTGGCTCCTCAGTTGGCAGCACTGCCCCTGGCAGATGACTTTTGGGTGTGAGGAGGAAGGCTTGGCAGGAGCAGCCGTGGATACACGTCAGGATTACTGTCTGGAAGTGTTTGCTCTGGTGGATCCTTGCTGTCCCGTGGTGGTTGAGTCAGGTAAGAGACACATCATGTGGTGGTGCTTCCATCACCATGGGATGAACACTGAAGTGGAGGCTGTCTGCAGGAGCCCTGGTGTCTGTCTGAACAGAGAGGAGTCCCCTCTCCTGGAGCATTACCGGGTTCCTCTGGGCTCAGGGAGCTGTCCCTGGCCACCTTCTGCTCTCAGTGCCAGGAGGCAGAGCTAAGAGGATTTGGAAGGGACTTTGGACAAGGGCCTGGAGGGACAGAACAAGGGGCAATGGCTTCCCACTGCCAGAGGGTTAGGTGGGATATTGGGAAGCAATCCTGGGCTGTGAGGGTGATGAGGCCCTGGCACAGGTTGGGTAGAGAAGCTGGGGCTGCCCCATTCCTGGAAGTGTCCCAGGCCAGGCTGGATGGGGCTTGGAGCAACCTGGGCTGGTGGGAGGTGTCCCTGCCCATGGCAGGGGGTGGGATGAGATGAACTTTAAGGTCCCTTCCAACCCAAACCATTCTGTGACTCTGGGGTGCTCAACTGGGGAGGGGTCCCCGTCAGTCACTGCCGGCCCAGAGGGGCTCCCATCCCCACATCCCGTGGTTCAGAGCACACAAGCAGCACGAGGGACTGAGTGTTGTCAAACAGGGACTGGCACAGTGGAGTTGTTTTCAGCTGTTTTCAGTGCTGTGCTGCAGCCAGCAGAGGTGTTTCCTCGGTGGTTTGTCCTGGGCTCCCGCTGTCCCCTGGGAGGCACCAGCCGGGAGGCAGGACGGGCTCTGCCGCGTCCCCATCCATTC